TAACTATTCGTTGGAGTCTGAGTCTGTCCTGTTTGGTTGCAGAACCAAACCAGACAGTTATTAAATGAAGGTCCCAGAAACCACACAACCCTCCTGTCCCCTCCCCCCACCTTCCAAAACATGCTCACTGTGTCTCTGCCAACATCTTGCTTCTGGCAGGTCTTCGGTCCTCCTTTCATCCTCCATCTTTCTCTTCCCAGGTGAGATCACCCAACTGCTTCTCAGCTTTTTCTCCCAGATAACCTTCCAGGTCTTCTCACCACACCGACTCGGCTGCCGATCCTGCTGTGGTAATCCTTGGGCATAGCCTCCTGCCTGCCTGCCCTCCTTCACCTCTTCCTCCCGAGTAGTCCTTATGCCAGCAAAGGGGTGGGTGAGGATCACTCCGCTGGTTCCAAATGTTCTTCTTTTCCTCTTGCTCTCTCATTTTGTCTCCCATCTCTCTCTCCTTTTCTCCTCTTTTCTCTTTCCACCTTCCCTTTTGCTACATCCAAAGCTAAGGTCTCATATATGTTTCTGAGCTTGGCCTCTCTCGCTCCCCACCTCTCAAATTAGCTTTCTTCCTTCATTTTATTTCAAGCCCTCCCCCATTGCCTGTCCTTTTGGGGCAGGGTTAGTTAAATATAACCTGGAACCAGTTAACATGTCTATGATGAAGAGTTTCCTATCTCTTCCCCAAAATTTGTACCTCCCTTCCCATCTTAGAAGATCTTGCACTAGCTGTTTAGCCTCCAACTTCAGCCCTTTCGAGCAAACCACTGTATGTACGTTTATGGGTGGCTGACCGTGTGCCTCGAAAGGGAGCAAGAACGGTATCTCCATCCTGAGCAAGATCTTCCCCAGGCGTTCTCTCTCCTCGAAAGTGAACTTGGTCAACCTGCATACTCTAAATATAGTTAAATACATATAACAGAATTAAGAAAATGTATTCAAGGAGGGATCAATAGATTGTAAAACACTTTAATAAGGCTAAGAAATGCTTTGGCCCTTAGAAACAGGCAAACGTTTTTCAAAATCAGAGAGAAACACGTCCATGCGGTATCTTTTTCTCTGACTCCTTGTAATGGAAGGACACATTTACAGTTGCCAACGTTTGTCACCAGTCCTGCTGGTGGCTTCACTGATTAGATTTCACACTGACCTAAGTACGTTTGTTCTTTGACGTCTAATTGTAGAAAAACTACCTGTATTTGAATGCTCTTTCGACAGCACATTTGTAACCTGAGCCTCTTGCAGTACAAAATGTGAGTTAAGCAAACTTGGGGAAGTGCGCTTAGGGCAGGGTTTCTCAACCTTGGCCGCTTTTAACTTTTGGGGCTTTAAATCCCCAAAATCCCCAAACACAACAAGGGTGGGGGGGGAAATTGGCTGTTGAAAAGTCACCAAACTC